CTGTTTCTGAGATGCCCCCGCCCCAGAGAGGCCGGGGCGCTGGCCTCTGTCCCCCCCCGAGGGCTGACTGACTGCGGGGAAAGGTGGGGAGAGCCCAGGGCAGGGGTTCCGGGAGGCGCGCCAGTTTGGGAGGTTGGCACGGTGCGCGCTCCTGGCCCGCGCCTCCCTCGCCGCGGCACCATTGTTCCCGGGTCTCTGTCACAGCTACAGACTGAAACCTTTCTTCACCCGCCGCCTCCAGAGCCAGGCCTTCGAGTCACATTCGGGACAATCTCAGCTAAGAAATCTGCGCCTGATCGCCGCTTTCCGCGACTCGATGGGAATGAAACGCCATTAATATTTGAAAAGGCAATTATTTTCCTGTTGAATCGAAAACTGTCTTCATGAATAATTTGTAGAGAGTTCTATTGCCATTTGAGAAACATTTTGTTGCTGCTTTGCCTCCTCCTTTTCTTCCCATTGCTTAGGAGATTTGAGGGAGACACCGGAATAGGGATGGATCTGTGGGGTTTTTGTTTTGTTTTCCTTTTTTTTTTTAACCCAAGCTGTAATGAATCAGGTCTAAGACCGAAAAGAACGCAATGCCTTGAGTCCATGCAAAACCGAGAGCCAGCCAGGCACACTTGTGCTTCTCTGATGTAGGTCGATTGCGCTAAGAATTTAACCATTTTCTGCTTCACAGACTTCAGACAGTGGGCCGGCAAAGAGCAGTATAAGTTTGTTTGCTTCAAAATCCCTGTCATTAAAGATGAGTTCTCCAGCCCCGGATTGTGCATCCACCTTCCAGATGATAGCAACCAGCCCCTGGAGCAGCAAGTTTCAGGGTTGGAATTATGGTCTTACTCATCCCCTGTCCCTGGGAATATAACTCGGGGTGAGAGAGGAGCAGATGAGTGAGAGAGATTCAGAACGTGCTCTAGAAAACCGCACAAGATGTTTGCAGACCTGCTAGGGAGGGATAAAGAACAAGATCCAAACTGGACTTTGGTCTTGCCTCAGACTATGGCAGTGTTCTTTCTAACCCTAAACCTCATGGAGAAGGCAAGTTTGTAGCAAGACTCAGCCAACTTCTTCCCTGACACTGCAACCATCTGGGACTTTGACTCTTAAAAAGGTGGCTGTCCTGAAGAGAATTGGAGAAAGGAAAGACACTGCCTGGAGACCTGGAGTAACAAGCTGGAATTCTTCGGATCTCTTCGCATCATTCTTCCCTTTTCCCGCCTCCAGGATGGGGGAGGGGAGAAGACGCTGACTTCTTCAACTTCAAGGGAGGGGGGGAGGAGTAAGGAGAGTCAAAGGGTGGCTGCTAAACTAATTAATGTAACTTCACAGGCTGTTCTGAAAGTGTGAAAACTTTCTTCTTGCAATTGTATTAATTAGATGCTTCTGGCCAGAAGAGTTCAACTCCCAGCCTCCTTCACTGAGCTCCTTTTCTTTCTGTTAACTAGAGCTAACAGATGTGGTTGACACATGTCCCTATTTCACTTAACAGCTCGGTAAATGACATTTAAGGCAGTGGGTCCCGTTGGGTCTCTACTAAAATAAGAATGAGGGGTACCAAAAAAAAAAAAAGTCCCTTCTTTGGAGCCAGCAATACAAAAGCTGGTCAAAAGTAGGCCCCTAAGGCTCATAAATCCTAAAGGAGGCGTTAAGGGTCAGATGATCCCTCAGTCCAGGTGATGGTGAAGCTAAAACGGGGAAGAGTTTTCCAAAATGATCTGTAAATGTGAAACAATAGTTCCCATTTCTATTAAAGTTGGGGGGGGGAATGCTGTTTTTTTTTTTTCTCTCCCTTAAAACCAAGCTTTAGGGATTGGGGATATAGCTCAGTATCCAGGGCCCAATCTTCAGATCCTAAATCAAATCAAATCTCTAAGGTAGGAGCTCCCGTTTACCAACAGGGATCACAGAACTCTGGAACAACTCTTCCCACACAGCCTCCGGAAAAGGGTGAGTCTACAGGCAGAAGCTGTTAATTACCGTTTTATAAATCTGGCTCATGGAAACCAAACCAAAAAATTGCCCCCCCTCCTCCCCTCAGTTGGAACTAAAGGAAATTCAGACCCAAAGGGCCTGCGTCCCATAGGGTCGCACGAGACAGACAGCACTCGAGTACTGACCTGTATGTGTTCGTTTGTGTATTTTGAGATTTTCTGATCTAGCAAAGACTTTCCCACACCCTGGGAAAGGACAAGGGAAGGGCTTCTCGCCCGTATGCACGCGGATGTGATTTACAAGTTTGTATTTGGCTTTGAAGGGCTTGCCCTGTCGCGGACATTCCTCCCAGAAGCAAATGTGGTTAGCCTGCTCTGGGCCACCGACGTGCTCCACGGTGACGTGCGTGACCAACTCGTGCATGGTGCTGAAAGTTTTGGAGCAGGGGCGCGGGGAAACTGGGCCGTCATCGCCTAGCCACTTGCAGATGAGCTCCTGTTTGATGGGCTGGCGCATATAGCGGAAAAAGGCTCCCGGGCCATGGGATGCGGCGAGGTTCACCGTCAGGTTCATGCCGCCATAGCCGTGCAGGGCTGTGGCTGTTGCCAAAGTGTCGCTGCGGTCCGTAGGCCCCGGTGCAAAGGGTTCCGACCTCGCATACATGTCTCCAGGGAGCCCCAGACGCAGGAGTCCGTTCAAAGGACGGCTGTGGGAGGCCTGAGGAGGCTGCTCATGAAGGCCCGGAAATACCGAGGGGTTCGAAGCAGCGGCGAACTGGGGCCCATGGTGTCCACAGCTGCTACCTGTTGTCGAGACAAATAGCGTGTATGAGAACCGGTGGAGTGGGCTTCGCACTTTCCCCGGGCCCCGGGGACAAGTCAGCCGCATCTAGGTTTCTGGCGTTGGTGCTGGTATCTTGAGCAAATCGGTGCCAGCAATGAACCTGTGGCGGACCAAGCAAAGCCAAAAAGCCTCCGCCTTCGTCCGGCTAGGCTGCAGTTCTGCTGAGTCCCCTGCCGCGCCATGAGCTGGAGAGGGGTAGTGATAATGGGGTAGGTGGGAGAGGCAACAAGAGTGAGTCTGTGGGTGCCTGGGGGCACGGCCTCTGCTGCAGAGGTGTAGACCCATATCTCAAGATTACTTTGTCCACCAACACCAAGGGGTGCTCCCGGGCCAAAGATGGAGGTGATAGGAGGGGTCATTTCGGAGGTGGTGAAGTTGGAAGTGGTAGTGATTTTGAAGCATCCTAGACGTATATATTAATTTCAGAGTCCCACTGGGCCTGGAAAGGACCTCCTGCTGAACCTCGGCCTGGCAGCCGCCGGTGCTACTACAATCTGGCAGTGCAGAGAAAGGACAATCGAAAAAAAAAAAAAAAAAAAACTTATGCAAAGTGGTGGGGATTTTTCTTTTGTTTGTTTGTTTTGTTTTTTTCTTTAAGTTTTGGGTGTGCATCCCCCCTCCCTTTCTGTGTCTTTAATGTCTGTGTGAAATCCCGGGCACTACAGAGGCGGCAGCAGGGCGCTTAAGGAAATGAATAGATTTGGGGCCGTGGCCCCGGGCCACCCTGAGAACAATCGCCTGTGTTGCCCATTGGCCAGTGGCCTGGCCCGACGTCAGTGATGACAGGCCGGTCTCTCTCTCTCGCTCTCTCTCTCTCTCTCTCTCTCTCTCTCTTTCTCCCTCCCTCCCTCCCTCTCCCTCTCCCTCTCTCTCCCTTCCTCCATCCTTCCCTCTCTTTCTTTCTCTCCTCTCCTCTCTTCTCTTCTCCGGTCCCTCCCTCCTTTCGCTCCCTCCCCTAACCCCAATAGCATCTCACGCTTCTACTGCTCATGCGCTCTGATCCAGGCAGGAATTCTTTACTCTTTCCTGTACACCTAACAGTCCCTCCCCATCCCTTCTCTAAAGCTGGGCTTTCCTACCAGGCCCCTGAAATTGAGCAGAGAAAAAAAGTGGAGCATAGTCCTAGTATTCACGCTAGTATTCAGACCCCTCAAGGAGCTCGGGAAAGTTTGTCTTGAGTGCAAAGGGCAGCGTCTGAATCAAGGCAGGAAGGAGGGCTGCAGACTGCCTGGAGCGGAGAAACTCCTAGAGTAGCGAACCTGGCATCCACTTTATTCTCCTTCGTTCTGCCCCTTGTCTTTCTCCTCTCCTTCGGCCTTCTCATTTCCCCTACACCTAAGCCACATCCCCGCCATATTTTGCCTTTCTGTTTTGCTTTTTTATTCATCCATCCCCCTCTGTCTCTGTCCGTCTGCCTCTAGCTCTCTCCCCTTGGGTGACAGCTCTTGGAAAGGGCTTTTTTTTTTTTTTTTTTTTTTTTTTTTTTTTTTTTTTTTTTGGTTCTGGCAAAAAGAAAGAAAGAAGGAAGAGAAAGGCTATGGGCACATAAATAGGAGGAGCAGGTCCTTCCTCTGGAGGCTATGGGTCAGATGGGTCAGGAGACTAATGTGGAGGGGTCCTGAATTCTGTGCAGTGATGCCAGATGAAGGTTTTCTGAACTAGGATTATGTCCAATTACTTCCATGATCTGTGGCCACTTGTTGTCAAAGCTTTAGCCTTACTTAGTCCTTGCTATCTATCGTTAGGACTCTACAGATGGGATACCGTCGTTGACTGCATCCATGACCCTCAGTCTAGAATTGCCACCACAGCTGGCTGAGGAAGAAGATTTCAATTCTGGCTCAGGAATGACTGCCCCTTGTCTGCCCTAGGATCTGCTGCTTTCTGTGCCTAAGTGGACTGTTCCTCATGACCCAAAATGCCAGTGGACTTTGTTGAACCTTCCTGAGGGACATAGAACATATCCTCAGGACACAGAAAGTCTGGGTTTTTTTTTCTTTAAAGATAATTCTAAATACTGAAAACAAACAAAAAACCTTTCAGTGAAGGGAGAAGTTTGAACAAATTACATGGAACACTAATTTAGAACTGATGGGACTGCCCCCATCCCTGAGGGTATTGCATCCCATGATTAGTAAATAAAGGATTTTTGCTCTGTTTGTTTTTATTTTGTTTTATTCTGTTTTTGAAGCAAGATCTCAAGGAGTCCAGGATGGTCTAGAACTTGAATGGTTTTGAACTTCTGCTCCTTCTGCCACCCCTCTCCAGGAGCTGGATTCATAGACGTTCAGCACCACAAATGAGTTAATGTGGTGCTGGTAAAGGAACCTAGGACTCCATGCATGCTAAACAAGTCCTTTGCCAACTGAGCTACCTTCCTACTCCCTAAATAAGGCTTTAAAATTTTTAATAATTGACTTATTTTCTAAAGCTTGGTACATTCCTCATTCATCCCTGCTTGGGGCAAGGGATTTAGCAAGGGATTAACTCCCACAATAATTTCTCTAGCTTTGAATAGCCTGTATCTCTCTGCTCTGCATTAGGAAGGTCTTAGGCAATTACAAATAGATTCTGTGCACACACTCACACACACACACACACACACACACACACACACACACACACACACACACCCTCTAGGGAGAAGGAGAGGCATTTGATTTCTGTTCCCTAAACCAAGGCCGTTCATGGAGATTTTAGAACTAGACTCTAAGAATTGATCTTCTTTCCTGGCTTTCCCTCTCTACCTATGCTTCATACACTTCATTTAGTTAGCCCTTTAATGACAGGGGCTTCTATCCAGTCCCTTGGTTTGTTTTCCCTTCCCTTCATCTTTGGACAGTTGTCACCAAATTTCAGAGAATTTCAAGTATGATCTCTGAGCAAAATGAAGAATATATTCAGATGAGTCTATGCTGAACCCCAAAGGGCTTAAAGCACAACACATTCACTGAAAGCACAACTGTGTTCCTTTTTGGCCAGCTATGTCTATCCATCAGACCTCAGAACTGAGATAGTAACCCAGAGTGCAAGAGCACTGGAAAAATAGGCCAAGAAGTAAAATCCCCATTCTCTCACCTAAACATAGGTGATATACAATTAATTGTTCAGGATGTGTCAACTTCACAATCCATTTTAACTTTTGTTAATTATTTTATTTGAACCAACATGGATTCTTAATATGCATACTGTGACCCAATCCCCATTAGAAGCTTTGAATAACAATACAGCCTGAACAGGGTTTTTTTAAAAAGCATTTTCAGCTATTTTCATAACCATTTGGAAACCTGGTGAGCATGCTGAATTCCTAACAGTCTTGTGTTTGCTTCTCATTTTCACAGGAGAAGAAAATGTTAACTTTCCATTAGCAGGTTGTAGAGAGAAAGATTTAAAATAAAAATTCAAGTTTACAGACCTTCTGAATTGTAAGTACTGACCTGTGTATCCGAAGACTAAAGAAAACCAGGGGGTTTATATACACATCTTGTTAGTATACAGCCTGTCTGACTAACTTTGCCCTTGAAAAGGTATGAACATGTGTATGACTTTCTGTGCCAGAAGCAAAAGGGCAAACACATCTGAATCAGCCAAAATCACTGACAGTAGCCTGGCCCCATGGAGCTCCTTCCCAGATGCAGCCTTCTCTTGAAGCACTAAAAACATCTGGACCCATCCTGGGTTGATGTTTCTTGAGTAGCCAGGGGTCAGGTGACCTGCAGGTCACAGAGGCTGCCTGATCCTTGCAAAGTTCTTGGAGCCATATGGTCCATACCTCGGTTGGCTAAACATAACAATGGGACCAGACATTCTTTTAAGGTCCATTTCCCCAGAGACAGAGATAGAGAGAAAAATATTTCTTGTATCCATTTATGCTTACTGACATAGAACTCTGAGCAATTATATAAGTACCTTCTAGGTGCATTTCTAAAATAAACTCCAAAACAGCCTCAAGCTGATCAGAAATGACGAGTCATGGAATACCAATGTCCAAGAGGTGAACTTTAGTCTTCCCAGAAATCTTTTTGATGTCTCAGGATACAGAAATCCCCAGTTTCAGTAACTGTCAATTGATCAGAAGTGCTTATCTTCACTGGGACTCAGTTTGCTTTTAGGAGACTCCTGCTTGGTTTGCAAAGAAAGGAGGTGGTTTTGGCAAATGCTGTCTCCCCACACCCAAAGCACTAAAGCTTTCATGAGGGCTTCTATGGAACACTTTCTACCCTTTGTAGCCCTTTGGCATCTTTCATCCTCCAGACTCTGAAAATTAATGCCTAGAATCATAACTTGGGCATTTTTGTTCACAATACCTATGTATCAATGGCATAAACAAATGATTTCTAGTTCACTTTCTAGAAATGGGGCAGCTGGTCCAACTGTCGGGGCTCCTAACATCACTAGCTGAAATGTATGATTTCTCTTCTTGGGAAGGTGGAGGATGGAGACTAGGCATCAATAGCTGAGCTATTTTTCCATCTTGATATTTGAAACAATGCTATATTATGATTAAGCTGAGGGTCCATGACTCACAGCCAGGCCAAGCAGCCTCTGTCATGTGAATATTCTGTGGCTAAATCTGTAGCCACTTCCTTGGTTCTTTTTTTCCTCCCCATTTCTGACCATGGTGCCACTCAAAATTAGGTGTGTATCTCTGAAGAGGCTATCCACTGACTTCAGGATTCCTGCAGTGGGAGGTATTCTCAAGTCTTATGAAAAGAAATCATTTAAGCCCCAGAAGCCTGCCATATGTCCAATCCCAAATTATGCAAAGGAGATGAGGCCTGTCAGTTTTTTTTAAGAAGAGGAAATTTTTCCTAATTATGGAAATTTGGGCTTTAATCATCATTAATGACACTGAGAGTATGGAAAAATATACTTAGATGTAATTTAATTTCCAAGCAATACTTCTGCAAAGTGTCTTTTTAACAAAAGATTGGGAGAAATTGCTAAAAGAACTTCCAAGGTAGTATTAAGGAATCAAAACAACTGAATTTATTATAATAATTATATCCCTTTGTTGACTTCTCCCATAAAATCATCCCAAATAGCAGAAAAGAGTCATTTCTTAACTTACTTAAAAACTTTTGTTAAGAAGCTTGCCTTGCATACCAATAAGGGAACATCTTTGGAGAAAACATGTAGTTGTATAGTTGAGATGAGAAAAATTAGATGCCCGGAAGGGGGTAAAAGCCAACCTTAAATCCTATGCTTATTCTAAATGGAATATGAAATTAAATTCTTCACAATGAAGGTATTTCTGACAGAATGACTGTCAGTCACTCTTGGTTCAGACACCACATTGTGGGAACATAGTTACTGCCACATTGCAGAAGGCTGGTGCCCCTGGTAAAGATGATGCATATCATGTAAACTCCATCACCAAGATCAAAGTCTGCTTCTTTCATGGAAGCCAATACATGTCAAACCTCATCCCAATCAAATTGTCTGGAAATGAATTCAAGATGAATATGTCATAGAATAATGTGACAGTGGAATTGCGGAAGGTCAAGGGTGGTTGTTTCAATGATCGAGTACTCAAATATTAATTCTAGAACGTCCAGATGAGTAGGCATTGAGGGCTAATCCTCAGGCTGCTGGTGGGATGGTGTGTCATTGATTTGTGTGCAAATGCGTCAAATGCCAAGGTGTTATTCTAAGTTTCGTTTGAACTGTAGAGATGTGCCCAAACTCACATCTCAGTGTAACAAAAGAGAAACAAACAAACAAATAGGATTTATGCATAAAAACACAAGAAGTAGAAAAAAGTGCCCAATCCTCAGCAAATGTCTATTTATAATAAGATTTCTTTTTACTCACTTGATTCTTTCAAGGTGTTTCTGTAAAGCCGCAATCGTTTCCTCATCACCAAGGAAGTCTTGTATCTCATTTTCTGAGTCTGAGCCTGCTTGAGAAGAAAAGGGCTGAGTAAAACAATACCATAGATGTTTCTATACCAAGAATCTGTGGCTTGAGTGTATGAAAGAAAGATGTTAGTCTGAAAACCATTTTTTAGCCTTTCTTTGATCATTTTCAAATTTGGAAACACAAGAAAAAATTTCTGGAGACTACTCACATTTCCTGTGAAATGACATGGGTTGGTAATAAAAACATTGAAAATCCTATTTCACGGCTAGAATTTTTATCATTAATTGTTCTTCCTTATGGGTAGAGGCATTCATTCAATGTCCAAAAATCTGTGGCTTCTAGAATTTGAAATCGTGTTTCAGAAAACTCCATTATTTCGTCTAGTTAGTTATTTATATTTGGTGAGGTGTGCCAGGTTGGGCCTCAATTCTCAAGGGGTGTGCAATCATGCTTAGTTATCTTGCTGAAATGAAGAAATTTGCAGATTTTTAAATCCTATTCTGTCTGTCGTAGGGAAAAAAATCTTTAGCCTCACGTGTCCCATCCCTCTCCTCACCCACTTGAGAGCTGTCACTGCATCAGTTTTCAAAGCTAATATTAAATCCACCAGGTTAAAAAATGTATCTCTTTTTGTTGTCATTTGGTGTCAAGTTTGTCCCTTTTTTGTAGTTGAAAAGTTTAGAAATATTGCCTCCCTCTCAAGATTGCTTGTCAGTGGCTGGAGCTCCCAGGCATTTGGCAACCATAACTCCTTAGAAGCATTCTGGGGACCTCTGTGTCCACCAGGCAAGGCCGAAGGAAGTGGGGCGGCCAAACAGGCAATCCACCTAGCATTGACCCTAAATTTGGTGAGGGTCTCGGGTTGGGCAAACACAGCAAGACCTCAGTCAATGGGACGTCTGCCTGTCTTGACACTCTAGCCCACAGGACAAGTGGCTATTTAACTTGTTGACCCAGAGGCTAAATCGGAATGGAGCTGCAGTATCATACATGGTCTCTAATGTCTTATGTTCCCCTTACCTATAACTCAGACCCAAACCACCCTAAGGTTTTTATCCTTTCTTTCTTCCCCAAGCATTGGCCTGAGTATACTCACCTTTTCTCATAGGAAAGTGTTTTCAATGCTAACAACAACAACAAACTCCTTCCATAAAGGTAACAAGCTCCTTCTAGCACAGACCAAGAAAGAAAGGAGGCCTAACTTTGCATTCTTACAGAAGAACAGCAGGCTGGGTGCCCTTGCTCTGAATGTCCTCATGGCGGGATGTCTGGCACCACAGTTTCTGGTTGGTTGGCAATAATAGAATTTACTTGTTTGCTTCTGAGGAAAAGGGGTGTAAGTTTCTCTAGAAACTTATGTCCACCCACAATGCTGGCAAGTTCTTTGAGGTCTGTGGCTGGTACCCTTATGCCTTATGTGCATGTCCGTTGTGCATTACAAATGCAAGCAAACGTTTCAAAGGTTGGGCCAAGGCAGACAGGAGGGACCTTAAGTTGTTCTGCAGCAGTTCTGTGTAGGGAAATAAAGCAAACACTCTTTGGTCCAAATTTGAGACCACTTAGCCAGTGGTCTTGCGAATGAACAGAATGAGGAGAGAATTTGGGAACTGTCCCTGGGCCCCTGAATCTGAGGTCCCCAGGATAAGAGGCCTGAAAAGCTCTTTGATTCCCCCCAAAATCTTGCTCCTGAGTTGTCTTCCTATACTAACTGGCTACAAGCTCAGTAAGGAACACCACCAGGATGTATTCGAATCAGCCTTTACCCTGCACCTTGAGAGGAGAGGGGTGCCAAGGAGCCTCACTGATTGATAGTGACAAGAAGATGGGACGGTTGGTAGTACAAAACACACTAGTTTATTTGAGGAATCAGGAATCACAGAGGCTGCCTGTTGTGAGGTGGACTCAGTCCTCACAGATCTGTCTAAGGTCAGAGGTCAACTAGAGCTGGTGACTTCAGTTCCACACTGATTAACCATCAGTCGTGAGTGAATACTTGCCGGAAAAACTCGGCCCTCCCAGGCTCAGAGCTACCAAGCCAAAGATGAAAGCCACTGCTGGCCTTTGCTCGATCGGCAGCTGCACCCGCACGGTCCTGGCTACCTTCCACCAGCCCTGAAGCACGAGGATCTGGAACTGAGGGACTGGGTTGTACATACCCCTTTTCTTACTCCTGACCTTGAGAGGGTAGGGATCAGATTCCCCTTGCTCTAGGCCGAAGGCCAACAACCTTCGGGTGCCCAGAGTGAAGTCTAAACGAGTGGGGTCAACAGTAGATAATCTAGCCTGGGCTAGACATTTTCAAACATAGGAAGGGAAAAGCACGGCGCCCAAGATGCCTATCGAGGGTCACTGCCAAGCCTTGACATCCAAAGGTAGTTCTGTAGACAGTGAATGCTTGGAACTCGAAACAGCCCTCTTACGCCCTCTCCACCATTCAGATTGTCCCTGTGGACCATTCATCAACTCCAAACTTTCAGACTTTGAACCAGGCAACTAACTCTTTTACACCCAAATCCATTCCCTTCTCTCTTGCTAGTAATTTGTTACACGTCCCTGGGTCTAGGCTTCGGGCCTGCTCCCCAGACCTAACTGCAGCCCCGATTCACATCCAAGAGAAAGAAAGTCAACCCATGCATGTCTCATGGCGCATACAGAGCAGATCCTAGAGTTAAGAGTCCTGAGGCAGGACCAAGGATGAGGATGGGAAGGCAGCTAGTCTGGTCCCAGGCATCCTCAGTGGATGTTCGGAGAAGTTC